CCGTACAAAGTCATGTTTGTTTTTACAAAATGCCTAAATCAAGAAAAAGTCTGTAACATATACAGGTTTTAGCTTAATTGCCCCAATCATTTATGTTTTTGTCAATCGCTCTGATTATTATTATCATTTTAAAGCATATACTCATCTTGTATATATTTCCTTGAAATTTTTGCTTCTTACGTGATTTTTGCCCCCCTCCTTTTTCGTCATGAAGAACAAGCCCCCCTCCTTTTTCGTCATGAAGAACAAACGACTCTTAATGGGCCTAGAAATGTTTTGGCTCTTGTTTCCTCTGAGATTGATATCAAGAACACAGACGCACGCGTTAATCGTTATAATCAAAAATCTAAAATCGTTTCTTGATTTTCGCACGGACATTTTCATAACTCGTACTTGTTAAGCTCGAGTGAAATATCATTCGAAGTAAAAGCGTGTGTGTATATCTGGCGAAATACAAAATTAACATAAAGTCAGCAACTGAATGATTTAGACTACAACAAGTTTTACTTTCCAAACATCTGCCATTCTTAAACATTACAGTTGAGAATATCAGCGTTACAAAAATTAGCTCAGGTTCTTGAATATTCTCTTTACTAAAAAAGTGAGACAGAAATAACTCAACAGATTAGTATTAATGCACGTTCATTTTGATTGAATATTGTTTTCTAAGCGCACAGTGGCAAATATTTAATGCATGTTTAGGACGAGAACAAATTAAAAATAAGTACAATTGTGTTGTATAATATATCATAACTTTTCCATTATATATGTAACACCCTCAAACGTGTCCAACCCCCCAAATGTGTCCGATTCCCCCAAACGTGTCTATTTCACCAAAATATGTCCGATAATTGTTATTCGCCAAAACGTGTCAACTTTAAAACACCAAAACGTCTCAAACTTTCAGCCATAATATGTCCCCAGTGACGCCAATAACGTTTACGGCAATTCAATGATGGGCGACACGATTGAAGACATCGGGATTAGGTCTCAGCGTTATAGAAAAGACCAAAGCCGCTATTCAAGGATATCTAGAGGACAAATGTCCAAGACATGGTACATTGTACACTGTCAACAATAAAAGATGAAATCTCTGATTTCTGATTTCAAATAAACAGACACAAGATACACGTGATAAAAAGTTTGGGACAATACGAAATTATTTTTACTTTCAGTGGTTTTACCATTTTTTTTATCAATATGGTTCTTACAGTTTTCTATTTTAAATGGCGGTACTTAACACTTCAATATTAAAAACGTTTTCCTAGTGCTTCAACTATTGATTAAGCGGTCATTTATTAACATTAGTTTGTTCAACTTCGGTTGTTAATATTTAGTATCACTGCAAGTTAATTTGCAACACTTAGATTAACTCTTGACTGTTGATTGCTTAATGTCCAGTGGCAAATGTTTCATACAAAAATACGGAGATTTGGTATGATTGCCAATGAGATAACTATCCATCAAAGTGAATGTAAGCAACTATAGACAATCGTACGGTCTTCAACAATGAGAAAGCCCATACCGTAAAGTCGCCTATACATGGCCCCGACATGAGAAATATGAAACAAATCAATTGAGAAAACTAACGGCTTAATTTATAACAAAGCAATTTACGAAAAACTAAATATGACAGACACGAACCAACAAAAACCACAAAACTACGGGCTCCTGACTTGGGACAGTCACATATATAGTGTGGTGGGGTTAAACATGTTTGTGAGCTCTAACACCCCCCCTCCACACACACACCCCACACGCCTCTCTCTAACCTGGGACAGTGGTGTAACAACACAAAATAAGAACAATCTATGAAAGTTATTTGAAAAGGTCTTAAATCATCAAATTACAAAGCAGAAAAACCTGTACCTACCAAACACAGACCAGACGTGGCAGGGTATTTATATATCCCTATCAACAAAAAAGACACAAAGTACAGTGACAAATATTTCATGCATATTTAGAGAAACATATTGCATTAAGATAGTTTTGTACAGTTAAATTCATCGTTTTCTAAGTGAATTCTTTTGTACTAATATACTCTTGTGATTCCTAATGTATATGAGGGTATTGCACGGCCTGCCTCCTACAGAAGTGGTGTCTGGGCTTTTAAAGAGTAACTGTCTCATTTTTACAACAACAAATCAAAACGAAGGTGCCTCTGATGATATCGATTACATTTGTATTTAAACAACATATGTGATAACGAATCACTGTTTTTAAAATAACGATGGACACGTTTGGGTGTTTTAAAAATATGGACATGATTGAACGTTCATAAAAGGGAGACGTTTTGGACTCATATGGGCAAGTTTGAGGGATTTGACACGTTTGGGCGTTTTTAATAAATGGACACGATTGGGCGTTCATATAAAGGAAACGTTTTTGGTGCCTTTAAACATCTAGACATGTTTTGCAGTTCGATGACGTCATATGGACGCTTTTGGGGGAATCGGAGACGTTTGGGGGGAGGGGGGATGGACACGTTTCTGAGTGTTAAATATTTACCATACTTTAGCAACCAACTCTTACGATCAGATGCTGATATCATGAATGCCATGTAGTTTTATTGATGTAGTTCACATTATTATTCTCACTCACCTAACTCATAATTGACTTAGTTGAGAACTTGTAATTACAAAAAATTCTAATGACGCAGCATTATGAAAGCAGGTGTAGTTTCAACAAATAAAATTTATACATATTAAAAACAAACATTTTTATCTTTATGTATTATATTATAGTGTCCTCGTCTATTTTGAAATCTATTTTGCTATCTCTTCAGTATTTTGTTGTATCTTCGTTGAGATGCCAGTACATATTTCCCTGACGGAGAATAAATTTTGTAACATGAATGTATACTTTTTCATTTTAATAATAAGTGAAACAATCTATACATAACTGTATGAACAGTTAAAGCAATTGGATTTGATACAATCAATCAACTTTATATGTGTTTATTACATTGCTTGCAATGAATTACCATGAGTGAAATAAAAACTGATTATTTCACATGTGAAATAAATCTGATAATTTCACTCCTCTGACGTCAAACAACAATGGGTGTTGTCAAGACGTTGTCTTTGACGTTCCATCAAAACAGTTGAGAATGCGTAGAACAGATATGGTGCCCTTCATTTTTAGCTCTTCTGGCCGAAGGGCCAACTGAGTTTTTCCCATCACGTGGCGTCGTCGTCCGTTAACTTTTACAAAGATCATCTGAAACTACTTGGCCAAATTTAACCAAACTTGGCAACACTTATCAATGTGGTATCTTGTTTAAAACATGTGCCAGATGACCCCGACTGCCGACAAACAAGGCCGTCATGGCTTAAAAATAGAACATATGGGTAATGTACTAAATTTTGTCTTTTATCTTGAAAATCGCTATAGAAAGAGAAAATTTGACAATGCAAAAATGTTAAAAATGATTAGACCTACCTTTTGTAGGAGATATTGCCCTTAAACGACAAATTTGTACCTTTTTTTTTTTCATTTTTGCCAATTTTCTTGAAAATTATAATAGACAGAGAGATACTTTATATAGCAAAAATGATCAGAAAGACAAGACCCTCAAATGTGTCATCATGGTCAAAATCGTCAGAGAACTCCTTATTGGAGTTATTGGCCTTTGATGAAGATTTTATAATTTTTGTGTGTTAATGTCTAATATCTGAAAAATATAATAGATTGATAGAAACTTAAATTAGCAAATATGATACTTTAGAATAAACAACATTATAACTTACAGTTGAATGTCTCCTATAGTTCCTTAAAAAGATACCATGCAATATTACCCTGCAATGATAATGTTTCTTGTTTGATATATAAATTGCACATTTTCTATGTAATGTTAATGCATTGTGTTTTAGAAGGCATCATATTTAATTTAACTATTATAATACACATATGTCTGACAAACTAAATATTAGGACTTCGATATTTTGATAACTTCAGAGAAAATATAACATTAATGTGAACCCAAATGAAAAGGCAAGTTCCCCAATGTTCGACTGAAGGATAATCATGATCTATTTTATATAAAATTAAGGTGGCTCACCCCAATAAGGACCCCCGGTAGAATTTTTTTATTTTCACATATTTTGTAGATTTTTTTATGCTGAATCCAAAAATGCAAAGAAAAAAAGGTGTCACCAGGCTCGTTTTCTCCTCAAATGGAAGCGAAATGTGCGATTTAAACCCTATTTCCAAACTTTTACACCCTTTCAACAATAACAACTACATCAAATTCAAAGACTTTTAGAACCATGTCAGTATGATTATTATGTGAAAAAACAATTAAATTTGAAATGTAAACGTTCCCCTTGGTTGTTTTAGACTTAAAAATCCTTTTATTTTCAGATTTATGTCTAAATTTGGCATTTTTTAATTTCAGTTTAAGGCTAAAAATATTGGTTAAATTGATTTTTCGTAAAATTTCCCCGGTAGATTTTTTTTAAAAACGGATATGTCAAAGCTATGAACTTTTCGAGCATTTTAAGGTAAAATAAAATGGGGGTCACCAGGCTTTTAAAAAAGTTACGAGCTTTTGTTTAACCCCTCTACCCCATGAGGTCTGATTTCAATGCACTCCATTAATTATTTTATTGTGATTTTTTTTATTGTTGTCTTTAAATAAATAATGTTTGTAATTATATCAATGGACGAAAGCTGAATATAAATGTGATGCACATTTTACTGTTTGTTATAAAAAAGCGAAATTTTGATTATTTTGGTGAAATACGGTAATTTTGTCTGGCGCGAGTTGCTTCCCTCCAAGTTGCTTCCCTCCAAGTGTCGTACAAGTGAGAGGTTTAGCGCTATAAAACCAGGTTCAATCCACCATTTTCTACATTTGAAAATGCCTGTACCAAGTCAGGAATATGACAGTTGTTGTCCATTCGTTTGATGTGTTTTGTCATTTGATTTTGCCATGTGATTAGGGACTTTCCGATTGAATTTTCCTCGGAGTTCAGTATTTTTGTGATTTTACCCTCTAATCTGGCGCCATAATCGGACAACAGAAATTTCAGGGTCGCCATTGCTGAGCAGCATACTGCACTGATAAATACGACCATGTGCATGCATAACAGACATAGTGGCGAACAGACAACGATGAAGGTAGAGTCATTACATAAGAAAACATAGATTTTAATATATTAGACAGCCAAATGTTATCAGTATCACGAAAAATACAAAGTGGGGGGTTATCTCAAAATACTCGCTACTGTAGAAAATCACTGCGGCTGAAACCTTGCATGGGCTAAATTTCTGTTCTATGTATAATCGTTATGGCTGGTATCTTATTTATGTGTTTACTTGACCCTTAACCTGTTAACTGGCAAGTTGTGAACATGTATAGCCTGTTTTGAAAAAAATATCCGTGTCAAACAGTCAAAGAGGAGGGGATGGTCATTTTCAGCATCTCATGATCTGCGCTACCGGAGCGTCTTTTTACCAAAGAACACCACAGAACACCACAGAATACCACAGAACACCTAAAATATACCACAGAACTTCACAAAATACAATAAAACTACTAAAATATACCACAGAACATTGAATTAATTTACAAAATGCAAAACTAATAATTCAGAATTATATCATTTTTATAATTCGGGCTACACTAATGACAGGACGATTGACCGGATGAGATATAAATTTCTTTAATGATCATAATTTTTTTTGTTATTTGTTTTTTTTTTTAAATTTGGAGACCTTTGAGATACTAAACTATATTTTATAAAAATCTTTTAAAAACAATTTTTTGAAATAAAAAAGTTTTTCTATGAGAAAAAATGATTTTCTATAAATAAAAGTTTTTCTATAAAAAAAAAAATTATTTTCTATAAATAAATGTTTTTCTACACTTGTGTTTTTTACTCATAATGTCTGCCCATATGAAAACTTTTCTGTTTAACCGATTAGAACTCATATTGTTCAACCGGCACCATAGTCGAATTCAGCATTGCCATTATTTTTGAAAGATAGGAATAGAAGGAATATTTATTTTCAAAATGTAGGAATAGCAGGAAGACACCCAATTAAATGTATTTGATGTCTCATGTGTGATAACTAAAATGACATGTTAATTGGCTTGATGAATTGGTGATTACGACGAGTGTCAAAATTAGATAATCTAATTAAATTTTGGTACTTTTAATGTGCCGGTGAACTCGCTCAGATCATCATTTTAGACTCAAAATATAGAATCTATATAGTAATGCTACATATGCCAGTTTTTAATTATTTAGATGCAGTTCAACTATTTCCAAATGCATACAAAATTTCGTAAAAATCTGAAATATTGTCCAATGACTTTTATTTCATCTCAAGTAAAGTATGTGTATACAATGTTTCATCTGACTTGCCGACAGTATTTTGTTTTGAACTGCATCAAGTGTATCAAGAATCTATTCAGTGTTTCAAAAGCCAAGCTAATGTACTAGTTTGTGATGTCCATTTGAGTTGCCACTTGTGTTGTCAGAGAACGTTTTCCCTGGACAATGCTGGAGACAACTACCAACATGCTTCTACACAATTTAAGGCCCTGCATAAATTCTATACATAAATTGGAGAAGATACACCCACATCAAAAGAAAAGTCCCAAATCATCAAATTTGAAATTTTTGACTATTATAACGACACATTAATAATATTTTATTAGTCAACTCAAATAACTGTCCAACAACAACTTCAAATATCTTGTTGAAAGTATTTGGTAGCCCTTAAGGGACTGCTTTATACATTATTCAATATTTAATATACATGTACTTATTATTAAACAAAAATGACAACTACAAAAATGATAAATTCTGGTATATACAAAATAGATTTAAGACATAATTACGTTATGCATTTGTTAGAAACATTCTAAAAAATGGAAGGAAAAAATAAGAAAAAATTTAAAAATTTAAAAAAAAAAGTAAATGCCACAAATATACCCTAGAATTAGAATTGTTGGGACTTTAAATATTTTTTGTATATTATGGTTTTAATACCGGTAGGCGTTTTTGGTATAGACCCAATAATAGGCCAATTCAGTTAGGGGCATAGAGATAGTGAGTCGACCCTAAATTGAAAAATTAAATTTATTTGAATAATAAATGTCAAATTATAAAAAGAATTAACAAAAACAATGATATAATGTCTGAAGTATTTATATTTCGAAGTTCTGTGGTATATTTTTTTGTGTTCTGTGGTATTCTGTGGTGTTCTGTGGTAAAAAGACGCTCCCCTGCGCTACCGTTAGCGTCAAATGAGTCTTTGATTTTATATCGTCATTCGTAAAATCTAATTTCGTAGCCACGTTAGGGTCAAATGAAGTTAAGTATTTATCGTTAGCGTCTGTAATGACTAGTAAAACAGGTTGGGAACAAACCCTCTATATGGTGTTTATACCTGTATACAGGAATAATCCTTCTAGGCCTATAGAGGGATAAAAGAGGGGTATTTTTGTTTAGACTGGATTTAAAGCAAAATAGGCAGAATGGCATTTTCTAGTTATATTTGCTATAATCTATAGCACTATATATGCATCAATTATTGCACTTTACTGTATTCTGTATTTCTTTACTAAAAAATGGCCTGGGATGCCCAGTTTTCTGCTAAAGTGACAGAACTTGCAATCTATTGTATACCTATCTGAACACCTGATCAACAACAAAAGGGACATGCAGTTGACCTTTAAATTTTATGTTAAATCTAACAATAGAAATTCTGTTCAGTGAGGCATAACTGAGTGGAATTTACCTGATCATCACAGCTTTCAATTATGGTGTACAATAGATTGTATATTCAGTCAGCTTAGCAGTAAACTGGGCATGTGAAATGAAATTAAGTACATCAATTGGTGCATCAAATGTAGCAGGTTACTGCCATAATAAGTAGAAAATGCCATTCTGTCCTATTTTGCTTTAAATCCAGTCTAAACAGAAATACTCCTCTATAGAGGGATAATTTTATCCCTCTATAGAAGGATTATTCCTCTATACAGGTTTAAACACCAGTGGCGGATCCAGGGGGGGGGGGGTTCCGGGGGTTGGAAACCCCCCCTTTTTTTTGACAATCAATGCATTTGAATGGGGACATATAGTTGGAACCCCCCCTTTATCCTGGGTTAGGAACCCCCCCTTTTATAAATGGCTGGATCCGCCCCTGAACACCATATAGAGGGTTTGTTCCCAACCTGTAAAATGGGGTACCCCATAACTTCCCTCGGACAGGGGTTCATGATTACCACTCCCTATCCCCAACTCCCATTTTTCTTCCCTTTTACTCTAAAATTTTCTCTTTTAACTTCTACTTCCATCCCCCTTGCTCCCAGACAAAAAAATTGCAAAATATATTTCCCAGATTATTCATCCCCCCCTCTTTGAATTCTTGTCCTTTCACCCAAAATCATGTTTGCTCCAATTCATGTTCATCCCTTTTACATTCCCACCTTGAGTCTGTTTGTACCCTTCCTTTTATCTAAATCATGCTTTTGTTAGTATAGTTCTATAACAATAAAATAAAGATATATTAAGTTTATTTTTATTGTTTAAAAATAAAGTGACTCACACGAGGTCAAAGGTTTTTTTTCTATTTATAATCTTCATAAGATTTACTTCTACCAAATTGGTTACTTTTATTTTCACTCAGACCAGGCTAACTAACGGTAACGGACCTGCACATGATACCCCCTTTTCTCGCTTCCTGATCCCTCATTCCCATGTTCCCTTATCCCTGTCCACCCGCTCAAGGGGTTTGATTGTTTCGTTTGTTTTCTTGAGAATATGAATGGCCTGATTTGTAAATTATAACCACTACAGTACGAGGCAATACATTTTATTGATGGATTCGTCGTGATCACAATTTGTTTACAATTAAACACCCCCCCTGTCTCTCTTTTGTATAAAAAATTTCATAACGTCAAGTATCAGGTTTAAACATACACGTAGGGCTTATCTTGTTTACCAAATAACACATACAGTTGAAAAATTCATTATTGTTTTGTGCTTAGTATTTTTAAACACAAAATTTGTATATCCCATCTTCCAAACAGGTTACAAGACACCTCAGCATAATTTGGTTGACGAGGAGTACAAATGTAGCTCAGCTACATTATAGAATTTTTAGGCATAGAAATAACTTGTCCCTGGCATCGAAACAGCATGCCCCGAGAAGTCTGTATTCAACATATATATAAAAACAAAATCACTATTTACACTTGCTGTGCATGTAATTTTATTTTGTTTGCTCATTATTGTTGCCACAAATTCTTCATTTTTTTACGCCGTAGTGGAGTGGGCATCAAGTTTTACCCTTGTCTGTCTGTACGTATGTCCCAAAATTGGTGTCTGTCTGTACGTATGTCCCAAAATTGGTGTCCGTTCTCTAACTTCAGTTTGCCTCAACCAAATGTTATGAATGAAACTTATACACAATGCTTATTACCAACAAACACAGATCAAGTTTGAATTTTTTTTGGTGGTGTCACTTTTACTGTTTTAGAGTTATGCCCCTTTACAAATGGAAAAATTGCTGAATTTTTTGTTTCCATTCTCTACTTTAGTTTGCCTCATCCAAATGTTATGAAACTTATACACATTACTTATTACAACAAAATTCAGATCATGTAAAACTTTGGGTAGTGTCACTCTTACCGTTCTTTAGTTATGCTCCTTTATAACTTTATATGCAAGTGGGGGCATTATCTGTGTCCCATGGACACATTCCCCATTTATTTAAAATATGAACTACATTATGCTTTTAAATGTCAATCATGGTTGATTTTCTGACAGAATTACTCTGACATTTAATTTCAGGCTTCAAGTACATGTAAGAGGAAGGAGTGATTTGTTGTGAAAGATCCTGGAATGTTCAACTTTACCTGGAAACTATTGGCAAAGAACTGACAGAATTTACACGAGAAGCCAGTATCATCTTGTCTTGCAATTGGGAACTATATGTAAAGTGCAGAAACTTAAGAACAACATTAGAAGCCAAGATCAACAATACTTGGAACTACATGTATAATCAAAGTACTGGCAGAATCCATATGAGAGAACCCAAGATCATCTACACTTAGTGTCTATATGCAAAGTGGTGTCAGAATCCACTTAAGAAGCCAAGATCAACTATAATTTGGAACTATATGCTTTAGTGCTGTCAAAATCCAAGATCAAAAGGACCTACTTTACCTACCCGTCCCAATGATGAATACAGATTATTGAGTCTTATAAAAAACACTGATGAAGAATATTGATATAAAAATAATGAAAATATAGAGCTGATCAGCTAATGATTGTACATGTACATGATGTACATGATGTATACATGTCAACAATTACTAGTATATTGAAATTTACAATGCTAATAAATGTTTTATAAATTTGATCTCATAGACATTTTAGGAATAAAAATCAAAAATGTTTCAAAAAATGAATTTTAATAGAGCTGAATTAATTTTTTTTTGCTGTCTGTAGTGAATTTTGCTGCAAGCACAATTCATGATATGCAAACTGCAATATATGCAGTTGTCTTTAATACAGAAGGTAGCTATGAGATTTGTAAATTTTGGAAATCATAATACCAAGTGGCAGTTGTGGTAAATGCACATGCCTTTGCCTCATCTTTTACCTCACCAACCCCTGACCTAAATGGCCACTTGAATTATTTTACATCATTTGGCATTTGTTTTCCATCCATATGCTATTCAGTTTCTATTTCAAAAGTTATATTTTCTGGATAAAAGGAGAAATAAAATACAGTTTTGTTCAATGAGACAGCAACCAAACAAAACAACGAAAAGAATTATATATTGTCTGGGAAAACTTGTGTCTCACTATTAACTGACAACATTTTTACCTACTGTAAATTCAGAAATTATTGCGTGCATTTATTATTGCGATTTTTGACAAATGGACTAAATTGCGAGTTTAATTATTGCGATTACAAAAAAAATCTGCATAAAGATCTATAATTCAGTTATCAGAATGCAAGTTCTTATTATTGCAATATTCACCCTGTCGCATAGGTGCATTAATAATAACCTCACAATAATTTCTAAATTTACAGTATCACAATGATCCAGATTAATTTTGTTTTGTAAATTTAGATATGCACTCAAATTAATACAGATTGCTACAAAGATCTCAAGCACATTTCATGGATCAGTGATCAAGGTTAAAGTTACCTGATTAGGGTTGTTTATCAGATACTGTTAGCAATAGGTCATTTGTCAATGTCATGTTTTTGTGTTTTTGTCTGTTTTTTCTAATACTAAAAGTACATGTAGTAGATAAACTATATGTATGCAATGATTCACAAATGTAAGGAGTACATGTCTGTCTGGCAGTTGTCATTGACCACATTTGCATGGTTCATTGGTCAATGGTAAGTCCTCTTTTAACATGCTACATTGTGTAATCAATGGGTTATTATATTTGGTGTATGGTATGATTATTAAATTTATATATTGAAATATTAAGTAAAAAGATGTGATATGATTGTAAATGAGACACTCCACAAGAGACCAAATGACACAGAAATAAACAACTAAATGTCACCATACGACCTTCGACAATGAGTAAAACCTATACTGCATAGTTGGGTATAAAAGGCCTCCAAATGACAAATGTATAATTTAAAACAATTCAAATAAGAAAACTAACGGCATATTTATGTACAAAATAATGAATGAAAAACAAATATGCCTGTCTTGCAGGGTCTATCTGAACTTAACCTTATGTTCATGGTTTTGTCCGTTACTGGCATACTATATATATGTTTAAAATATTTGGTTGATGGGGTGATTGTAACAGAGGCGGATTTAGGGGGAGGGCCCATTGGTTGATTATATAGGGAATCACGGAAGCATGACTTGAGCATGTCTCTCTTAGGCAGTCGGCCCCCCCTCCCTTTCATGAAAAATTCTGGCTCCGCCACTGTGTAAGGCTGGCTTGGATTGGTTTATCTGATCATTGATAATATTAATTTTTTCTGATACTTGTAGTGAAACTTTATCTTTAGGAATATCAACATAAAACCAATCCTGAATGATGATTAGTAAAGCAGGTGAGACATTTCAGCTTGTGCACTCTTGTTAACACAAAAACTATATGGACTGCCGCTAGAAAATGAATGGACAATGCATGCTTGGTATGGACAAAATTCCTCCTTTTTACCATACGAGGCTGCGTATTTATCTCGGGTGGGGGTGGGGGAGGGGGCACTTCCTATATTCAAGGTGATGGGACGTGCCGCTGGAATAGGTCACCTTTTCAAGCTTGAAAATATGTGAAAAGGTCGGGAAAACTATCAAAAGTATATGAAAAGGTCAATAAAATTTCCATAACTTCTTCGTCTGTCATCTTTCTTGGTGTTCCCGGGTGTGATTTTATCAACCAAATTTTCTCTTTTAACACTTTGGTATTCTAGTCTTACATTACACTACATGAAACCCAAGCATTATAGGGAAAAGGTTACATTTTTACCTACGCAATATATGAAAAGGTATACATTTTTGAAAAAGGTGGGCCCCAGCGGCACCCCTATCAATTAAGTATTGAAGTGCCCCCTCCTACCCCCCCCCCCCCCCCCCCGGAGGTATTTATACATCCAGCTGTATGAACACCCTGTCATAGCAAGGGATTATCTGTCAGATTAGGGAAGTCATATTTCTATACCCTACGATATGAAAATAAGGAGATGTGGTATGATTGCCACTGAGACAACTATCCACCAAAGTTCAAATTTAAAAGTCAATATTAAAAAAAATTGCATCTCCATATTCTCATCGGTATCCGGTCGTTCCGTCCCCAAACCGATCCGGCCCCAAGTCGATCCGGCCCAAAGTCGATCCGTCCCAAGTCGATCCGGCCCACGTCGATCCGGCCCAAAGTCGATCCGGCCCCATAATAAAATATGAATAAACTATATTGACTTTGGAGGATTTTAACAGTATAAATGGATTTTGCAAAAAGTATCGATGATGGATGACAACAGGTAAGTGAAGTATTGGTGTACCAGTCAAAGAATTATTTTAAATCGATACGAAACTGAGTGTGATTGTGTCTGTTTGTATAGCAGCTTCAACATTTTAATATGAAGTTATTTTCCATGATAACTTTGAATGTCACGGCGATTTTTATTTTATTCAATTCACACACATAATAGCTAAATAAATATTAACAGTCCAATGGAACCTATAAAATTTAACTCATAATATAATGACTTGTTTCATCAAATCATTAGTCTATACTTGGTTTGTTTATTCAACAAAAACAAATGATGAAAGACTTGTTAAGATCACAGTCAATTGAAAGAAAATGATAATTACTGCTGATTAAGGTAGATTCATGGTATACCGCCATCTTGGATTGTACAATCGCAGTACACAATCGGTCTAGTTATTTGCCCAAATCTGCAAATTAGGAGACATATTTGCAATTTATTTGTCACACTGTTTATTTATTTAAAGAAAACTTGGTGATTTATTTTAATATTTAAAATATTCCAACAAATATTAAATTTTGTGTTTTGGAATCGTTTTTATCAACTAAGCCATTTAAGGGGAGATAACTCTTTTAGTAAAAAATTACACTGGCTTGATAGGGAAATTTTTAATTTTTACTTGTAGCAAGAAAACAAGTTCGGTGACACCATTTTTTCTTTTTATTTTCTTAAAACATGTTATAAAACCTATCTTCTCACAATTTATTTCAAAATTCTATCTCATAGATTTCTTTTTATGCATACAAATGTGTTTTTTCATGAACAATCTAACCAGATTTAGGCAATTTTCAACGACTCATAGCTTGAAAAATAGCACGGTGACCCATACTTTTTATTATATTTTTGAAAAATGCATAGTAAAATCTTCATTTTGGCAAAGTATAAGAAAATTCTATCTCAAAAAATATATACCGATGATCTACCTTAATGTTAAATTGATGTCTGTTGATTGTACTAAATTCTGTTATATACGTTTTTATTATAATTATACCCAATAATCTTGAAAACTTGAAATGAAAACATAATCAACCTACTTGTTTTATACTCATCTAAAGAAAATATTTGTCAAAGGCCATTTTTTTTACCGTACACCTTTTACATTATAATAAAATTCATAAACATTTATGAATTACAATTAATATATATCTTTATTTTTATTCCTTATAAATATATTTTTTTATTGGGGCCGGATCGACGTTGGGCCGGATCGACGTGGGACGGATCGACGTGGGGCCGGATCGACATGAAAGCTTATCATCATAGGCCGATAATTACGTTTCTTTGCAGCTAGCAGGTGGGTCAAACCAGTGTTCACACATTATTAAAAAAGTTGTCATGCACATTTCTTGCCGCAATGACGCACTCCACTTTAATATTTTTAAATCAAGAACTTTCCTTATTAGCTTCCCTTTTGAAAAAAACGCATGTCAAAAAGTAAGACAGAAGTTAAAGTTTGCCAATATCACCGACTATTATAGCGTCCCTGTGTACTGGGCGGAGTTTTAAAATTACAATCCCAACTTTTCCTGAACCTCAGTAAGTAGTATAGATTTTGTGTATATATAATGTCTTTAACTGGTAGTGTTTGGAACTGCCCGGTAGACTGCGGCTGTGTGTCCTGAAGCAAAATCCCGACTTGGTCAAGCCAAATATTTTGCGCCGCAAAGCATGTGGTATTGAGGGATAATAGCATATACCGATATATAAGGCCGGAATACTAGTAAGGTCCCGGTTGCTATTGACCAATTTTCATCTACATGATCAAAGGTTGAAAACTGCAAATTATTGAAATGTCCGGTTTTTTTTCTGCGTATTTAAAACAAAAAATGTGTTTTGAGTTCCGTTAGCCTATTATACATGTTATAATAACTCATTCTTAATCAATTATTTTAGTTTTTACGCTGATATTTCTTCTTTCTTTTTTTTAATGCGAACTATGTTGGCATATTGATAGATACAACAGAAAATAGGAAATTAACAAATAGCAAAATAAGTAAAAGGAAAATATTATAAATAGAAAACATTGGCCCCGAGGTCTCATGTTATAGTATTAGAGTTCCAAATTTCATAGAATCATGATACGAGAAAATTTGTTAGATATTTTCGTGCCCATTATTTGATAAAGTATATAAATCTTTAAATATAAATGTTATGTGTGACTGTCAAGTATTTAGTCTTTGTTTGAAAATTGTAATGTCCAAAAAAGAATTTGGAAAATAAAAAATACTTAACTATTATCAAAATTTTGCAGTGGGAAAATATTTCCCATACTCCGGAATTGTTATGTTCAAAAATTTTTGGCAAATAAAAAATACGTAAATTTATACATTATCAAAATTTTGCAGTGGGAAAATATTTCACATACTCCGGAATAAGATCCTACCAATACTTGGAAATGAAGATATTTCAAGTAAAAAAGAGATTTATGAC